TTTTTTTCACGTGTAGTATAGAAATTTGTAATAAGATACATAATGCGGTTATAATAAAATATTGTGCGATTATTTTCATATAATTAAAATTAATATATATTTATATTTTATAAAATACAAGGGAAGCGGTGCTTCCACCGCTTCCAATGACGGCATGCCACTGGTGTTATATGAATTCCATGTTGTATGAGTCATTTAGATTTTACAAATACATGTGCCGGGCTGTGAACAGCTCACATATTTGTAAAATCTAAGTGACTCGTACAACATGGAATTCATATAATACGGAATTATCAACAATGTTATAGGGGAGGGTCTACTGTATATAGGTATCAAAATAATGGATAGGTAAACAGAGCATTCCTGTATATATATATATATATCTTTTTGGGGTGATCTGTTTGGATGGTGATAATTTGAAAGCTGGTTTATAAAAAATAAATAAGTTGTATAAAGTTCAAATTCTGCCACAATGGTGAAATAAGGAAAAAGTTTCATTGGATAGTTTTGTCATGAGACAGAAGTAAAAAATGGCACTGACCATGGACTTTGATATAGAGAATTTGAGTGTGATGGCTGTTAAACACAAGTTTTCTCATGTTTATGGATTCAGGAAGGTGCCTAAGCAGGGTGTGAAGGGAAGCTGGTGATTTCCGCCATGCCCAGAGAAAACTTAGGGGCATGTAGAGGTCCTAATCTTATAAAATTAATGTTATTTTTACTAACAGAAAATAAAATCTTTAAGGATGTTTTTTTATTAAAGAAACATTTTACATATTTCATTTCATCAAAAAAAAAGAAGGCTAAAGAAGCCTGCTTTATTTCCATTCTCCATACAGATCTTAATGGTCTTGTGCCTAAGTACAATGCATAATGTGTAAGCCTTTGAAGAAACAGATTAATCATGTAGTCACACTTCAGTAGTCATAAGCATGATTCTGAGAGCTAAGCCCATGTTTCTGCTGCATTTTTGTGTAGTCCATTGTCCTTAAGAGGTGACTCTGCTATACAAAACATGTCAATGCATTGTTTGATGTTACCTGCAAATGTACCCATAGTGCTTGTAGGCCTACATGCTGTAAGCAATATGAGTACATTTTCAGGTAATGGTGAACAATGCATTGACATGTGTGCACCAGAATCAACTCCAAGGACAGTGCCATTTCACTTTTGTCAAATGATAAAACTATTCAATTAAACTCCCATCTTACTTTCTTTTTGTGGCAGAATTTAAACTTCATACAACTAATGTGTTTATTATGACAGCTTTCACATTATCCAACTCAACTCTGTATATCCAAGATAATTAATAAATGAATTATTTTTTAAAATATGACAGAAATTAAAATTAATATTTTTTTATTTTGTAAAAAAAATATTTTATTGGATTCAGTAATCTTGCAATTATATTTAAAATTATTTTGGAAATAACAACTTGATAAATCTTCTGTTCAGTTCTGAACAATTCCTCTTTAAAAATTTTAAAGTTATAAATAACTGATTTAATTAAGTTGTAGCATTATTTTCATACAAAAACCAACCTTTTGAATCATTAAGAGTAGAACCAAATGCTGAGATGATGTAGTTGGTTTTCAATTTTACAACTTGTTCTTCATCATCTACCCAATTTCCTTCTTCATCTTGTTCTGTTCTGTGAAATTCAATTGCCACAATATGGCCATCTTTTTTCAAAACTTGAAAAGGATTAAGAAATGGCATAAATTCACATTTTTCTTCTCGTGCAAGGTCCATCTAATTCAATATTCATAGTCAACATTGTTATTCAATAAGAAAGTTAAGAAGTAATTTAAATTTACCTCTTCAGGTACAGCTCTTATATTAGTAAAACCTTTTCTGAAGACAATGTAGACTTTTTTAGCTCCACATCTTAATGCAGATGTAGCACAATCAAATGCAGTATCACCAGCACCCAGCACAACAACATTCCCAGAAAGTTTTGGCAAGGCATTTCCACAGTTACACATACCTATTAAAATTAAATAATTTCATTACCAAATAAAAATAAATTAGTTTCAAAAAATGCTTTAAGAAAAGTCTTCTTTTTTTATTACCTTTCATTCACACTGTCTGGCAGATCAGAAACAGGATAAAAATATATGACATTTGGTTTTGATGTATAATCTGCCAGTGCAAGACCCTACTCAAATATGTAAGGTTGAATTAACATTTATCATATGAAAAACATAATAGTTAACAAAATAGATTATAAATTTATTCTATTTTTATTATTATATCATACATTAAATCTATCATAAGTGCAGTAACACATAAGACATAGTAAAAATTTAAAAACTAAACTAAATATTTATTGTTTAATAATTATATTGATTAAAATATTTTATATAAATTACATTTATAATAATAATTATATTTGATTTTACTTTTCCTATTATCTTTTTTAACTATGTATCTAGTCTAACAAAATTGTACATAAACATTGTACAAGTAATTTNAAAAGTTTTTTAATAAGATATAATAGATAGTGCCATCAAATGTTGCTGGGAAAGTTAAGCAACTCATTGCTGGATTTTTAATCTATAATCTACAGAATTGCAATTGTATCTATTAAATAGTAACAATTCATTGTTAAATTTAAGGATTTAAAATTCACAATTTTAAAGAATGTTATAATTTAATTTCTTTTCTGATGAAAGACATCTAATAAAAATTTGTTTTGACATCCTTATTTGATAAGAAAATAACTTAACTAAATAGAAAAAACTATACTTCCTGTGTTATATTTGTAAATATATCCATATTTTCTATATCTAATATAAATAAATAAATCAAAAAATAAAATAAACAGACAAAAGTTAAGTTGGACTAAATAAAATGAGATAAGATAAAGTAATTACAAAATATGAAAAAAAGTAGAATAAAGAGTTGAAAAAGTTCTTAGTTCATTTTATTCTATCTAATTTAAAAGTAAGAAATATTAAATTGAATTTTAAAACAATAACTGTAAATAATAAACATAACAAAAATAAATTTATAGTTTTTATTTTTATTAATTTATAAATGGTCTACCTGGTTTACTTGCTCTTGCAACCATAGGAAGAAAATCCTTTGATGTATAAAATCCTTCTTTTATTGAGAGTTCTTCAAATATTGGTATCTTCTTTGGTTCTGGTAAACCTAAATTTAAAGCAAATAAATTTATATGATTTTAGTTGTAGTTAATTCAAAATCATTCATTAATAATGAAATAAATTAATCAAAATGAAATCTAATTTATCAATGATTATATATGAAATTTCAACATAACTTTACATAAATATAAATAATTTATTACATATTCCTTTAACACTGTAAAGAGTTTGAATTAAAAAAAATTTCTTAGTACAAAACAGCATTATATTCATACCTGTATTAATAGAAAGGAAACAATTACAATCATCTATTTCTGCAGCATTGAAATTAACATTTGAAAAAATTTACACTTTTCTAATGATTTTACAAGAACAGTTGTCAAATTTTATCTTCTGCAAATCAATTTTAATTGATATTATTAAAAGTTATACACATTTTAATTCTTTTACTAAACTGTTCAATACTCTGGATATGATATAATGGATGAAGAGAGAATGGGTGTTTGTTTGATTAAAAATAATAATAAATATTCATCCTCTTATCATTCATTATATAATGTCCAAATTACTAAAATTCCAAATGTTACAATATTTTCATATGATAAAANACCCACGACTATCATTGTTCAGTAGTTTTATCCACTCGGCCACTGGTGGGCCATTTTGGAATTAGTAGGAACTAATAGTTTTAAGATTTACTGACAATGATTAAATTAATGAAAAATTTAGCGACTAGTTAGTGTTTCTAATGTATAAAAAATTCGTCCGTGGAAGGAAGAACTGTAAAAATGATTTCGTATAAGAATCCGAACCCGTTTTATCAGGATTTATACTAACTGCAAGAACTAATTATATTACTTGCAAATATTTCAATAACAGGTAATTTATTTAATGAATTAATTAATGTTAATTATGCTTATATCGAATAACAATTGTATTTATAATTCATCTTAATTGTTCCCAAGATAGAATTAAATGGTTTTCCTCTATTCTATCAATATAATATAGTTTATACAGCAAATCCTCACTTAAAATCGTTTCGTTATAACGTCGTACAGTGGGACAAGAACCACACAAAGTTGGAAAAAATTCGGTTGTCTTCTATGCTGAAAAGATATGACACGGTGATATTTTGATAAAAAATACAAAATACCGCAAATTTGAAGCAAATTAAAATATATTTTTGTCCCGTTGATCACAGATTCATTTGAGCAACATACGACAATACGTCAGAAGAATGAGAAAGCCTTAAATTTTCAGTTTTTATTCTTTTAGTTGGCTCTGAAGACTCTTGATGAAGCTATCAAGGTCTTCCTACACTTTTCTCATGTATCGTACGACATTCTACTGTACAAGTGTAATCAGTAGAAGATAGTGGTGTCTCTACCAACTTTTACTACATCCTGTTCCCTTTACAGTCTGCTCACTTTTTAAATTTCAAAATATTCAAAAACATTTTCAAATAAATATTATTCATAAAAAATATGAAAGCTCACATAATTTTGCTGCCACATAATAAGAATGCCATCAATATAACATGCCTACAGGTGACGCATTGGCTACCTTTGCCTTCAACTTAAAATCGACATGCACTTTGACTGTGCATGCCTCATACATAGCATAGCACATGGAACAGCTCAGGTATTTGGAGCAGTTGGAGATATAAAAGGCTGCCAGAAAAATGCCACTATAAACTTTTGTGACATACATTCCTTCCACCCTGCATGGAAGTCGATCTACAAGTTGTAATCTTACAACTCTCTTTCTTATGTCACCCCTTTCAACATGTGCACGGCAATTCCCTTTGTTTTAACAGCTGTGGTGGTCAGTTAAGCCTGAAGACGGTCCATTTAACATGAACAAAAACATTAGCTGTCTTACATTTTTGTGCTGGATATTAGTTTATTTCATCTTGTTTAGTAAGTTATGATGTTACCACTTGGCTAAGCCATACTATTCAATGTTGGATCAGTGTTCCCACACTGTGGTGCTGGTTGCACTAAGGACTAATTTGGCCTTGAAAACAAGGACAAACAATGAACAAACACATAACTACATAAAAATAGATACCTAGAAAAATAAACAAATATCACTCATTAGTTTTTTTTATATTTCCAGAATAGGATAGAAGTCATGAATTTTCTGTTGTTTGTTGATAATGAAATTGGAGCCCCTTGGGATTAGGAAAAGGACAACACAGATAAAAAGGAGGAACATGCCCCAATGTACAGTACATGCAGCCATGGATCAATGATTCTTAATCTTTTTCTCATCACAGACCAGTAAAATTATGGATAATTTTGCATGGATTAGTAATTATGTGTAACTATGAATTATGTTTATATGCATATCTTACAATTACTGTATGTAACAAAGTATATACAATAATTCTGGATTACTATTTAAATGTCACCTGTAATCAACTGCATCAGCATCAGTATGATCAAATATTTTCCTGCAGACCAATGAAATTTTTTTGTGGTGTGGCAATTGAGAAACACTGTTGTAGAAGATTTGCTAGACTAGTTAGTCATTCCTGAGCCATCACAGGACATGCATACATTTTTATACATTTTAATTTTGAAAAACTCCTTTCTGAACTTGCTATTGATACTTGTAATGTTACAAAAATTCTCAGAGCAATAAAAACATTTGGAACACTATTTTCTAAATTATTTTTCATATGTATGACAGGATAGGACAAGTAATGAAGTATTTTCTGGAATTTGTCTTGCTATTATTTTTGAGAATATATAAATTAAATTAAAATACTAAATATATTTATTTACAGTTTGATATATATTATTTATATATATCAAATAAAATTTATTTAATATTAAATTAAACCATTTTTCTAGAATTAAAAAAATCAAAAAGATTTAATAATCTTTCTTTTCTTTGTTTATGAATAAAGCTGATATTCCATATCTTGGCACCCGTAGGCTTCTAATGGTAAAACCAGCCTTGCTGTATCAAAGCACAAAAATACAAACCCTTCATAAAATAAAACTATTTTTATTAAATTCAACTACGAAATAGTATAATATGATTTGTTAATAAATGAATAAATTTATATTTGCATAAAAAATTTTTTTTAATAGTATCTGATAAGTAATCTGTGGACACTTACCATCAAGTTGTATCATATTTATTTATTCAAGTAATGAAATATTAGTTTTGCTAGTTAATGAAACATTTTAAGCAAGGATTTTAATTTAAAAGTATTGTTTATATTAAATATTGTTTCTACTTCAAAGACTTTAATATTTTAGTTCTATGTATATTATACCAAAGTATTGTATTGGATTGGCCCATAAGTACTGACATTTTTTTTAAGTGAAAATTTTGCATGAAAAATAAAATATTTTGGCAATGCGTTTTATGTTATTTGATAAAGAATTATGTGCTTTATAAAATAGTGTGTTTAGTTTTTTTATGTTGATATACTTTTTGTTCTTTTCAGGTCAATAAAATGGAGTGTCAAGTCGACAAAAATGAGCATTTTCAACTCCTTCTGCTTTTTGCGTTTAATCGAGGTGTTAAACCAACAGTAGCTACTCAAGAGATTTATGAAATGTATGGCAAAGAAGCGATGCCTCTTAGAATGGCTCAAGATTGGTTTAAGCGATTCAAAGATGGTAATTTCAACCTCAAAGACATGCATTGCTCTTGATGCTCCATTCAGTTCCATGAGGAACAACTAAATCAGCTTATTCACAAAGATCCATACCAAACAATGAAGGAATTGGCAGAGTTAATGGAATGGTCCCACAGTATCATAGAGCATCACCTTCATTCAGTGGAAAAGATTCAAAAGTTGGACACATGGGTTCTGCATGCTTTGAACGACAACATCAAAAAATCAACATGTCGCCTGTTTGTTGGGGCTAAGCCATTCTTTGTGCTGCTTCATATTGACACACAGGCACCATTTTCGTCACCAGTAACAACTCAGTAGAGGAATTGTTGCTTGTGTCCATGAGTTGACCGATGACAGGTAAGCAAACTGGCAGAGATTGTGACTTGTTGATTTTTGATGTTGTCGTTCAAAGCTTGCGGAACCCATGCATCCAACTTTTGAATCTTTCCCACCGAGTGAAGATGATACTCTATGGTATTGTGGGAGCATTCCATTATCTCAGCCAATTCCCTCATCGATCAATGTGGATCTTTGTGAATAAGCTGATTCAGTCACTCCTCATGGAACTGAATGGAGTGTCTGAAGCGATGAATGTCTTTGAGGTCAAAATTGCCATCTTTGAATCTTTAAACCAATTTTGAGCCATCCTAAGCGGCATCGCTTCTTTGCCATACACTTCACAAATCTCTCAAGCAGCTACTGTGGCTTTGGCACCTTGATTAAACGCAAAAGCAGAAGGTGTCGAAAATGCCCTTTTTTGTCAACTTGACACTCCATTTTATTGACCTGAAAAGAACAAAAAGTATATCAGCATAAAAAAACTAAACACACTATTTTGTAGAGCAGATAATTCTCTATCAAATAACATAAAATGCATTGCCAAAACATTTATCTTTCATGCAAAATTTTCACTTAAAAAAAATGTCAGTACATATGGGCCAACCCAATACTAATATTGATGTATAAATTCATGAACATTCTCATATATATTTCTTGTAAAATTGTAATATAAGAAGGCTTACCAATTCCAACAAAAACCACTTTAAAGCCATCATTCTTTAATGAAATTAAAGAAAAGTCTCTGCCTAATGTTTTATTAGTAATAATCTAAAACAATAAAAGTAGATTAGTTGATTGATATATTTAGTAAATACTGTAGTTCCTCAATTCCAAGGCATACTATTTTACCCAATTTACTTGAATTAGAATTAGTCTTATATTTGTAGACCAAAACAACAATTGGTAATCATTATGAGTAGTGGTGCTCCAATTTGATTTTTGGGTATACTGCTTAATGTTCACATCTATTTAAATGAACTTTACTAGTAACAAATGTTTAATTTAAACTCTTTTTGTTATATAATTTGTCTTAAAGATGACATTATAATACAGTATTAAATTAAAAGTTATTGTACATACAGGTAACCCCCGTATAACACGGCACTTCTATAGCACGGATTCACTCTAACACGGTTCGAGAATTGGTACCATCCCCCGTATAACATGGTACTTTTATAGCACGGATTTACTCTGACACGGTTCGAGAATTGGGAAAACCCCCGTACAACAGGAAATGTAATAAATTTTTACATACTTAAGTAATAATAGTTCACAAAAATTATTATTTTCGTGAACTATTAGTACTTAAGTATGTAAATTTTCTCTTCTCGCCTTCTGTCGATGCACGTGGTCCTTCTCGAAACTTGTTTCAATGTTGCCAGATCGCGACGCTTCTGCTTCTGATGTTGCCGAATGTTTTTCCCTT